AAAAAAAGAAGACATTTTTTGTATGAATTTCAACTCAAAGAAGACATTTAAGAGTGTGAACACGGTTCTGGAAGATAATAAGACTCAAAGAAGGAAATCTAAGCGATTCTATAAATACTAGATAAAATTAGAAGAGTAAGAAGATAAGATATAATGAGTAATAATGACAAATAAAATAAGGTACGTGCGTAGTCCGAATTAATCACATAAATATCATACAAAATATATGCATGCAACTCCACTAATCGTTTAACTATTGACAGGGTCACTATCGTACTATAATCGTGAGTATGGTTTCAACGAAAACCCCAAGGTTAAAAGGCTCATTAAAATTTAAAACCAATCAGTGGAACTACATATATATTATGCATATAAATCGTAGGTATCTTAACTAATTTAGTGGCCACTATACAGGTATGTAGTATTATATTTCTTTATCCTTTCCTCTCTTTTTTCTTTTTTTTTGTTTCTAATCTATAAATATATTCACTAGAGCTTCTTCTTTAATCATCTCTTACACAGCCTAGCAAGTTCACTCCCTAATCTTTCTCAAATCCATTTGGTTCAATCAAAATAACTCAATATGGCTTCTAAAGCGTTATTGTTATTTGTTGTGCTCACATTTCTGTTGGTAACTGGAATGGAAGGGAGGATACTTGGGGTTAACTCAAAGAGTAAAGATGGTGAGAGCAACGATCTTTTGCGACGGTTAGGTTACAATGTTTCTGAACTAAAGCGTATCGGTCGAGAGCTTTCCGTCCGAAACGAAGTAGATAGGTTTTCTCCAGGAGGACCTGACCCTCAACATCACTCTTATCCTTTGTCTTCAAAGCCCTAATTTTATCAGAGAGTTTGTGTTGCAGCCTTGCAATATGTATAATATTATTATGATTTTATGTTAATTACTGAAGACTTGTGAAGTCAATGGGATGTTTGAAGTCGTATAAGCTGCAAGATTGAGTGTGTACTGAAGTGTGTACTTGTAATTAAATTTAATTACTCGAACCATTATCTTGTTTTCTTCGTCGAACGACCAACTTCAGTATAGGCATGCATGCTATACTATATATATTTTATAAGTTTTTAACTATTTTCCTGCTCTTATACCGTTTATCATTATATCACTAAAAATATACTTCAACCCATGAAGATAAAACAAAATTATAGTTACATGAAACAATAAGATCATAAAATGTTTTAGAAGTTGTTTATTAATCACCATAGAAAAATGAATCATCCTCTCCATCAAGCTCAACAACATAATTTTACGTACATATTGCATTCAATATTATCAAGTTATCCTATTTTAATCACGCACCTAAGTTTTATTAACCACATTCGTCTGTCTGCACCTTCAAGTTTAATCTCCTTAACGCCAACAATATCCAGAGGCGCATCATCAACTACATACATTAATTACCCATAATTGCATACAACATAATTTTCTCCAATGTTATCATAATTGTATATATGTGTTGTAGTGTGGAATGAGGCCCATAAGTATCGGAGAGTCCATCGAGCTATAACCATAGGATATGAGATGTCATACTAATACTTGATTTTCATTTCAATATATGTCAAATATCTTGATACTCTGTGCTGAACCATTGTGCTGAACCATCTTATCTTGAAATGTAACTGACTTTGTTGCTTTTTGATACTATATTAAGGTTTTGAACCCAAATCCCACCCATAAAAAAATAAAAATAAACAATACTATTTATACCAGTTCACCCTCAATATAATAGCTGCATCCACTTCCTCTGTTGTGGATTTCACTTCCATCAAACTAGAATGTTAAAAAGAAAAAAACATTTCTCTGTTTTCGCTCTACATCATCATGTACAAAATAAAGAATATATAAGATAGAAAAACGAATGCATATCTAAAATATGAACTTTCTAAAATATTTTTTTGGTTTTTGGTTCAAAATCGGTTTAGTGATTAGTTTGATTTGGTAGGATTTTACTAGAATCATGTTTATGTTACGGTTCAGTTTGGTTAGCCGAATCGATCGGTTACTTGTTTTCTATAACCAAAAATATGTCGAAATTAAACCAAACTAAAATATATAATAACTCGAACTAACCGTTTTTTCCTGAAGAAACCCCCCAAAAAATCAGATTAATTCAATAGAATTTCGTTAACCAAAAATAATTGATCAAGAATCGAATCAAACCAATTATTTATTTTGTTAATTTATATGGTATTGTTTGCTAATTAAAACAAAAAACGAGAACCAAAAAAACCGGCTCAACAATTACATCTCATCACCTTAACATCTCGTGGTTTGGTTCAAGAAGTTTAAATTAGTTCATTTATTTATTTTCCACACGGAAAACTGTAACAAGTAAAAGTTTTAATTCTTTTTTCTTTTCTATACTTCTGATTTTTTTATTGGTCAAATAAATTGAACTTTTATTTGTTTTAAAGTATATACAACAAGAAAAGCTTGCATCATCGAATGTTATCTTTTCCAAAGTAATACCAACTCTAAATCAGTTTACCTTTTAGGAATAGCATTTTTAATTGTTAGTCTCACATGACGATTATAATGTTGATAAAGTAAAAAGAAAAAATGACGATAAAGATAGCATGTAAATGGGACGGCGACCTTCGGAAACCTAAATAAATACATGAACCGTGGCGAATTGTTTGGAACTAAAGTGTGGTTGTCTCCCCATAAAATAAATCCACTTTTCATAGTTAGCTTTGATGCTCTTTGTTTCCAGTTATATATTTGCTATCACTTCTTTTTAACGTGTAATGAAATATATACTATGTTGTTTAAAAACAAAAATTGTAAATCTAATATTACTTTATTGTGATTTCCATACCTGAGGTTGATAATTAGACTGCAGAAAATATACTTTAAAACAACCCAAGAGGCAATAGGATCAAGCGGCAGTTAATACGGGTAAATTATCAAATTGAATTGAATGCATATTAAATGTGTCATCAGTGTAAGAGTTACAATGACTATTTTTTTGGCATGAACTTGGACAGTTCAGCTGAGAAACTCAGAAAACTCATTTGAAAACTAGCTATGTAATGTTTACTAGGGTTACCTAATTATCACCCAAATCAGCGGTTACAGCTCAGAATGAAAGGGTGGTGTAGAGATATTGGCATTTATTCTTTAGTCTGATTATTCTCAGCGTCCCAATAGATTCATATATCCTTTTGGTACTCACAGATCCATGCATGACCATGAGTAAGGCATCTTACTGATGGCACTAGATGTGTCTCTAGACTCTAGTGATTATCGTTTTAAGAAATATAAAAAATTTCTGGTTAATATCTTTATTCATGGGTTTATGGCATCCCGTCAAAACTTGAGTTTTCTAGAACCATAGTTATGTCTTTGCTAGAGCGTGAGTAAAAAAATGTTTGGAGATAAAATTTCTATATTTTGAGTAAAAAACAGAAATTGTTTTCAACATAAAAAAACTTTCAAAAAGAAAATGGACTATATTATCAGACTCTACATTGCGCAACGAGATATTGCCAATGCTTATAAAGAAAATAATAGAAAATGAAAATAATACATGTTCTACAATTCTTGAATAATTTTCACTTGCGAAATTGAACAACAAATTAAGATTTTTAAAGAATATATAACTTTAATTTCCATTGATATATATCTTTATATACTGCATAGGTGCTAGATATATGTATATATATATATATATAATTATTTTCTTAATGTACGAATGCATGCGCACAAGAAACAAAGTATTCCAAATAAATACATGATGACTGTATATTTTTATTTTATGTAAATACTAATGTGCACAACAAACAAAGTATTCCAAATAAGTACATGATGACTGGATACTTTTTCAAATATAGAGTTTCTTTGTCGTTATGTTTTTTTTTTTTGTTTTAAATTCTATAGGTTTTAGCTTTAAGTATGTGTAGACTTTGTCGACTAATTAACGAGACATCTATAGAAAAATGAATTTAACAAAAAATAATAGTATCTAACTACCAATACATTATACCTAGATTCTTGATAATGCTTGTTGAACAAAAAAAAACGATTCTTAATAATGGTTTTTAAATTAATAAAAAAGAAAAAGAAAAAAGATTCTTAATAATTTTTCTTGACAAGTTTCTTACTAATGCGTCTATTATATATTGAGTTTTATCAAAAACAAGCGTACGTCAATTTTTTTTGTTTTTTGTTCTTTTTGTTTAATTAATATATAATAATCCTCGATTCTAGTCATTAATTAACGACAATATTAAGAAGTGAATCTTCAATATGGCATCGAAATGGTTGTCCCATGAGGCCATGAAAGGCTCAAAGGGTCGATATGAATGTATAGAATATACACATGCATGTGCGAATCAATTGAATAATCACTACTTAAATGATATTTGTTTCTTCTTTTATTTATCTATTTGTCAAAGTTCACACACCTACGCATGATACAATGCACAAACATAAAAAGTTTATGGTATTAGTGGTCAAAGTGATGACATCCACGGTTTGACATCATGTATTCTTTTAGAAATAAGTAATGGTAATCTTATCTCTCTTTGGCTCATCCGTAAACACAATGCTCAAATACTTTTCTTTTTTCACGTCATTATCTCGTCCGGCCACCATCTTCTGTTGTTGGAAGCTCACTAACGTAAAATCATAACTATTGAGACATATCTTAGATACATTTTCGCTAAAAATTATATGTCAAATCATCTGCAAAACGCTTATCAAATTGTAAGATTAATTGATTTTCAAAATACAACAGCCACTTACGTAATGGAAGATTGATTTTTTCCCCCAAATTGGAATCCAATATAGTATCTAAGAGATGTGTATCGATCATTTAAAATCAGTTAAAAAAAATTCTGTGAACCTCCTTAATATATTTATTTAACAAAAATTTATAGCTTAATGTAAGTATCATATCGATCATTAGGGGTGGACACAAATGAGCATCATTATTACTTATATTTTTGATCCGCTATATTTTTTGGATTAATTGTACATACTTTAGACCTAACTGAATATATATAAAGGGTTCAAATATCTCTTTTTGTTAGTAGAAAAAAAAACTATATAAGTAACTTCGAGGAAAATAAATTGGATCTTAAAACTTAACCTGCTAATGATGAATTTAGCATCATTTTGAAGGTTTGCATGTCAGCTAGATTGAGCCCATAAGCCTTAAGAATGGTAACTTGGCCCGATGAACCTAATTGATTCCAAAGATTATTTTCCACACCCAGATATTTTACTTTATCATCAAACCTATGCTATTGTTTTTTTTTAAAAATTGCGCATATTATATGCCATTATGTTGGATTTAAAAATTCAAACGATCTATGAAAACATAATTTTGAAAAGAAAAAAAGAATTTTAAAATAGAGATTTTTCTTTTCATTTACATTGTAAAAAGTAACCAAAGGAAAAAGTTTGTGAGTAACAAAGTTACAATTAAAAAAAACAGTGTATTGTCGGGAATAAAAGAAAAAGTTTTATAAACGATTTTTAAGCCTCTTTAAAAAACATCGTGTCATTAGATGACTTGTCGCAACAAATTGCGGTATTAAGGAACGGCCGGGTCGCATCGGTCAGTGTTGCGCAATGTTTCAACTATTGTTGAAAAGTTTCCACTCGTGATGTTTGTCAACCTAAAAATCAAAACCTTGATGGAATTACATATATGTCAGAAAGTTTTTATTGTCGGCTCAAAGTCGTGACAATGAGCAAAGAAGAGACCAAAAGTGACACCATAACTGGTCAGGTTCAATAATTTTTCCCATATACAAGAATGTGTTTGTATAGTGGGTTGGTCTTGTCACATGAGGTTGTAGGGGCCAAAAACTTAAGAACGTTTGAGATATTGACACACTTATCCAGTCGTGACTAAACGTTTTACATTTGGTCCTGCTGTATGTCATAATATTACATTTAAGCTAATTGTACGATGGTGTGAAAGAACTTATGGTCGTTGTACTTCTAGGTTAATCT